CGCACCCCCCCCCCCCCCCCCCCCGAAAGTAATATAAGTAACTGTGGTGAATTTGCCATAAGTCTGATATTTCCTAAAAATGTTATATTTACTGTGTATGCAATAAATCAACATTTTGGAAAAAAAATCAGATGTTTTCAGGAAGTGTCAAAATTGCTGCACTTGTACTCTGCTGTTTAGCACTGAGTACTCTGACAATTTCCAAAAGTATGACAGCTTAGTCAGAATTAGTTTCATAGCTCTGACTCAAGCATCTGGTACCCTCTAACAGCTTAAAACAAATATTTAAATTTTACTTTGACAAAATTTATAGGTGGAAAAGGAGAGATACCTGTGGAAATCTGATATATATATTAGCCCTATACTTGGAGATTGTATAGGCAGTACTGTTTTAGGCAGACTTTCCCTCCTTTGAGAATCTGCAAGCTGTTCCTTACATTTATTTTTCTAAGTCATGATATATTATGTGCTTAATTTGTTACTATCTATTCTGGGAAACCAAAGAGAAATGCTATTTCATATCAACAATATGGTGATCAACAGCAATTTTCAGGAATGAAAGGGGTTTTCTTATTGGAATTCATTGATCAAAGGAATTGATCAAATGTAAGAAGTTATATTGGCAAAAACTTGATAAGCTAACAGATGATTTGTGAAAAGAATGTTTCCATTTTTATTGCTATATACTATCCTTGGACTATTAGACTGTGGTTAGAAATATGTATTATTCCGCTTATACCCATTGACATCAATAGGAATTCTATCTGGTTAATAACTCACTTTCTTTTTCTGTAACCCCATGTTAAGGGATGTTTTCCACTTGCTTTATGGATTTAGATACCTGAACAAGCAGAAGAGTTGGAGATAATGTTACTTAAAAATTAACATTTCTTGATATGATGAATGAAGCTTATCTCTGTGACAATAATGTTCATAATATCTTTTGTATCAAATTGTCAGCATGATCCTTGTCTAATAGAAGTGAACCTTATCCAGTACAACTGGAAATCATCATGATTTTAAAACACTTATAATAGTTACTAAATAGCTTAGTAATACTCCAGCCAAAATCAGTTCACAGTGATTTAGCCAGAATTTTAAAAGCCTCTATTCAAAGATGAAATTTGACTATCTTTAAGCTCTAAGGAAGAACAACCAACCATATGTTGCCCTATTTGAAAGAACTAAAAATATTACAAAGAAAGCAAAAATTGCGAAATGTAAATTTAATTACATTTAAGAGGAATATTTTGTTTTCAAGAACTTCAAGAAACAAACCATGCCTACCGAGAAAGCTCATGCAGAACCTAAGGAGTTCCCTTCAAACTCTATCATCTCTATCAAATGCAAACCTTTACAATAGACTCTGGAATTTCTCCTGTATGTTTTTCTCCCCAAAACACTAGCATTCAAATGTAAGATCAGTGGATTTGGTCTGTCCCTTATCTCTTTGGAAGTCCCTCCAGATTTTATAGAAAGGTAGTTCATGAAATATGTAGAAAAAGAAAGTGAGATATCAATTCAGAATAGATTTTCCACCTTACAGGAATTCAGGATGAAGATCAGATTATCTTATTCTGCATTTATACTCTCCTAACTGTTCCTTACTTGTGAATCTGTGCTCCACTGGAGAACTTTTCACGTATTCAGAAGTGGTATATGGTATGTAGCTGCCTCAACAAAGGCATCTATTACCGTTTTCAATGCTTTATTGTAATCAGCCCTTTTTCATGGGTCTAGCAGATTGACAGATTTTTCATTGGGTCTGTGCAATTCTGTAGTGGTGACGAAAACCAGATGAGATATCCTTGGATTCCTGAAATTGCACTAAATGCTTACCTGCATCCACTCAAAAACCTTTCTAGTTTTTCTGGGAGTGTTTTAGATTGTACTAATGGCCAGACCCCTGACTTTTTTTCTTATGCAGTAAATCAGCTTGTACAGACAATAAACTAAAAATTAAGTTCTATTTTTACATAAGTATGTGTAGACTGGCCATGGAGGTTGGAGAATTATAGCTTGATATTTTATTGCCAATTATTGATCCTCCTTGTAGAATTTATAGTACCGCATCATACAAATTATATGGAAATTGATTTGTTGTTGGCATGATTGCTCATTATATAGCAGGCTTAATTGGTTTTCTCCTGAATTAAAAAAACGGTGTGTGCATATATATACACTCACGCACTTTTTTTAAACTGTATTCATATAAAGGATGCAAAAATTCTTGACTTACAGTTAATTATCTAGGCTTTCATATCAACATTACTTGATAGAAAAACTAGTCTGCCGCAGAGTGATATGGTGAGACTCAGTTAATTAATGCTAATACAAAGGGCTGATTTGCCTAGAAGAAAACTACAAATACATCTGGATTTCATTTACAGTGAAGAACACCAAATTACAGGAAGGAATCCAGGCTTTAGACAAAACTACTAATTTGGAGCATGGAAATGTCTTAAATGACACAAAGGCCTTAAGGTGTGTGTGAATGGCTCACTCTGGATGATAAAACTTTATCTCATGACCAGCTATGATGCGATGTCAAAGAAAGGAAAGGATTCTTCAGATATGTGAGCAGTAAGCAGAAGCACAAGGAAAACACAGGCCCATTACTAAACAGGGCAGGGAAAGTAGTTACTAGTAATTCTGACAAAGCAGAGGTTCTCAATACCATCTTTGCCTCTGCCTTTACCAATGTAGCTGGACCCCAGATCACAGGATCAAGTAGCTACTACAACACATGTCAACCCAGCAGTAGTGGAGGAACGGCTGGTCTGAGGCCTCTTACAAAGAGCTCAACCCACATAAATCTGGGCTCGGACAGAATCATAGAATCATAGAATCATAGAATCATAGAATCATTAAGGTTGGAAGAGACCTCCAAGATCATCGAATCCAACCGTCAACCCAACACCACCATGCCCACTAAACCATGTGAATGAATCCACCCCAGGGTGTTAAGAGAAGTGGCTAACATTGTTGCAAGGCCACTGTCTATAATCTCTGAAAATTTCTGGAGATGAGGGGATGTCCCTGATGACTGGAAGGGGCAAATGTCATACCCAACCTATAAGAAGGGCCCAAAAGCGGACCCAGGAAACTACAGGCCCATTAGTCTTACTTCAGTCCCTGGGAAAGTAATGGAATGAGTCCTCCTAGAAACTATCACAAACAAAATGAAGCCGGTGATTGGGAAAAGCCAGCAGAGATTTACCAAGGGCAAATCATGCCAGACTAACCTGATCGCATTCTACAACAAAATAACATCTGTCGACATGGGGAGAGCAGTGGATGTTGTTCACCTGTACTTCAGCGAAGCGTTCAACACTGTTTCCCTCATCCTTCTGTTGGACAAACTGGCAAGATACAGACTGGATGGGTGGTCTGCAAGATGGGTGGAAAATTGGCTCACAGGCCACACTCAGAGGGTGGTGATCGATGGTTTTTACTCAGACCAGCAGCCTGTCACAAGTGGGGTCCCCCAAGAAATGATACTGGGCCCCACACTGCTAAACATCTTCATAAATGACCTGGGTGATGGGACTGAAAGCACCTTCACCAAGTTTGCCGATGACAAAAACTAGGTGGTGAGGTGAACATGTCAGAAGGGAGAGCCATCTTAGAGAGAGACCTGGATAGGCTGGAAGAGTGGGCTAGCAAGAACAGTATGAAGTTTAACAAAGACAAGTGCGAAGCCCTGCACTTGGGACAGAATAACCGTACTGGTTTTGGCTGGGATAGAGTTAGTTTTCATCATAGTAGCTTATATAGTGCTATTGAAATTTTGGATTTGTGATGAAAACAGTGTTGATAACACACTGATGTTTTAGTTATTGCTGAACTGTGCTTACATGGCGTTAAGGCCTTTTTTGCTTCTTAAACTGCCCTGCCAACGCATAGGCTGGGGGTGCACAAGAAGTTGGGAGGGGACACGGCTGGGACAGCTGACCCCAACTGACCAAAGGGATATTCCATACCATATGACGTCATGCTCAGCAGTAAAAAGCTGCAGGGAAGAAGGAGGAAGGGGGGACATTTGAGGTTATGGCATTTGTCTTCCCAAGTAACTGCTACGCATGATGAAGCCCTGCTTTCCTGGAGATGGCTAAACATCTGCCTGCCAATAGGAAGTAGTGAATGAACTCCTTATTTTGCTTTGCTTGTGCGCACAACTTTTGCTTTACTTATTAAACTGTCTTTATCTCAACCCACGAGTTTTTGCACTTTTACCCTTCTGATTGTGCGGGAGTGAGGGAGCAGCTGTGTGGTGCTTAGCTGCCTACCAGGGTTAAACCACAACACTTCCTTTAAAACCAAGGATTTACATTAGAAAAGTAAGGCCATAAATTAAATGAACAAACATACAAACAAACAAACAAAAAAAACAATGGAAAAAAATGCCTCCAGAGTCCTAAGGAGACAAATGTATTGAAAATGATCCAGTCTCTTGAAGTAAATTCCAATGATTGATGTGAGCCATCTGCTGTCATAGCTGGGAAAAAAAAGAAACTCTTAGTGTGGCAGTCAGTTCTGCTTGTCCATCTGACTAGCTAGTAGGTATGTTTTGCAAATTACACTGAATCACTCTCCATTAGTATTAGAAATTTAGACATTTACAGCACAAGCAAACACCTAAGTTTAGATGTCTAAATCTGGAGGATAGTCTTTCTATCAGAATGTTGTGCTTTCTTTAATAACTTCACCTACTGAATGTTCAAAGCAACAGGGCTGCCCAAGGATGTTGCAAAATACAATCATAAGGCCATAGCTATAGATTTCCACAGGTGTAGACCATGTTGCTAACATACTTGGAGTGTGAATGAGTAAACATTAAATATCTTTGTAGTGAGTTACACTTTTGCAGAACAGAAACCCTGATAGAGGTGTACTATGAAACACATCAGTGACACACTTATGAAGAGGGCTAGAACACAGGAAACAACAAATTGACTTGGGCTTTTAAAATAAAAATAAAACTTGCTGAAAGATAAAGTAAATTCAGTAAAGTGAAGGTGTGCTTCTTCATTGACAAAAAATGTTACACATCATTCAGTGCTAAGAATTCCAATTTTGAGAGAAACTTTTTCCAGTATAATGGAGTATAGAAGGGAAGAACTAAATTAGAGTTCATAAATATAAAGTGCTCTAGATTATGAAAAAGTGCCTATTAGGTTTAGACCTAAAGGGTGCAGTAAATGTGAATAAAATATAGCTCCCTCTCTTTCTCTATAGCTAGACTAAATAGCATGTAACATTTTAGACAACTGTACTTCTTTATTAAACTCACTATAGATTTTCTGCAGGACCAAAACAACACAGCACAAACCATTTTCTGATTTGACACCTAGGGAAATACTAATATACAAAAGAATTTTAAATGTAGACCTGCTGTTATTTAAATTCGACCTGAACTTGGAAATCTAGTGTTCTATAATTTATGATGAAAATTGCAAGAAAGGACAAAAAAAAGGCCTAGATTTTTTCCTTTTGTATCTCTGGCTAATAGCCCCAAAAGTGATAATTTGTACTTCGAGTGGAACAAAATACAGACTAGCTTTCAGTTAGAATATCAAAATGTGTTAAGAGAAATAGATCATTTTAAAGTTTTAAATAGATGCTGAAATGATAGAAGAATAAATTATCTGAGTCATTTTCATCTGTTGCTCAGTGTCTGTCATAAGATTCCATTAAGCTGGAACAGAGACAGCAGGGTGACGACAGCAGCTTGCCTAAAGCCCTGATTCTGCATTTTAATGGGGCTCCAGATATACACTGTAGAATGGCTATTACTGCATGGTTTGAATAGACCTCTTACTATCTGTGCGTCTGCAGAAATTAGCACTGCTTAAAAGAGTATTTCCTCTAGAACTATTGCCATTTAAAATTAAGTGGGGATTTCTGACTATAAACTAGAAATTCATATTCAGACATTTCAAAATTTCATTGGCAATTTTTCCATCTTTTTTTAAATTTTTCCCAATTCTGATAAAAACTCAGTGTGACATTATATGTTGGAGGTGTTGACCAAAAAAGATGCCTGTGTGTTTTTATGTGCAGTAGTTTTTATTCAGTTATCCATATGAAATGATGAACAAAGGTAAAGCATTTAACTCCAGTATACTTCACTTTTTTATTTTAGCTCTTCGTTCTCATTTCTTGGCTTATAAAAGAGGCAGGAGCATGTTCATGCTTTGTGATATGGCTGGCTGAGAATCTTAGTGTTTCATGAGTTGTTTTAGGGCAACAGGAGCAGCAGTGGTAGGTAGTCTGCTGCTCCCACCTATTGGAAAGGGGAACCTGACAAGCCCAGCATCTTTGGGTTTATGTCATGTGTGAGACTGAGTGCAGTAGATGTTAGTAGGTGTTGGGCTTTACTGACTGCAGGGGTTAAAACCATAAGCATTTAAAAACAAGCAGAGCAGGTAGAAAAAATTTCACTCAGAGTTATTCAGCAGAAAAAACACTAATTTGATGCATTCATTTTGCATTGATTAGTCACTTAGTAAAATAGACAATTGACTTGGGCATAAAAGCTTGGTGGTCTGTGCCCCATTGAGTCACAAGGCTTCAGTCATGCTCCATGGACTCTTTTTTTCACAGGAACGCAGCTTCAACAAAAGAGGTTAAAGAGGCAGGTGGTTTCTCTTCCTCCTCCCCTCTTTTCAATGAAACCAGCCTACAGCACCTTATATGGGTCACTTGTGGCAGCTGTGGTTGCAGGGAGCTTGATGTCTTTTACGTACAAACAAAAACCTGGGTTTTCCTGTCCCAGCATGAGTGCTTTGATTACAACCTGACCTGTCACCTTCCATTTTCTTCTAGCAATATTTGAAAGAAAATGGAAGCTGTAAATGCCTTTTGTAAATCCCTATCGGTATGAATTAGATGAGGCTGGGAACATATATCATGTTGAGGTTCTCAAACTGAATGGCCAATTCTTGTCACCAGGGAGACTGAGACATGAGGGAGGACCCCAGCAAAGCTGAAGACCTCTCTCCCTGGTACTAAGGTGCCACCACAGTTCTGGAGTAGCTGAGCAGGGATTTTCAGAGTCCTTGACTTGGACAGAAGGTCTTATAACATTTGTTCTGATCCCTGTATAGCTATGCAAGTTGTGTTTTGGTACTTCGGTATTTTGTTTTATTTATCTGTTACATAGGGCAGATGAACTATCACACTTTGGACATACTGGCTTGGTGCTCTATTTTTCAAAAATTTGATCCATAAGCTGAAATTTAGAAGGAAGCTGAGATTTAGATAAGGAAGAAGTAGAGAATTCAAACAAAGGCCTAAGATATTTTTCTGTAATTTTTGCCATCTGCTTTTAAGGAATAAATAAAGAACACAACCATAGCAAAAGGTGTAAAGAAATGAGATGTCATAATGAAAGCAAATATCAAAGAATTATTATTTTCCTTTATAGTCAAAGAATACTCCATCTGCTCTTACCAAGTTTTCATTCTTGCATCTAAGTTACAGGGTACATGTGTCTGAATTTATGTTTTTTTCTTGTTTGTTTTTTTGGCAGCTGTTAAAACTGTTTTTAATAAAAAAAAAAGATGTTTTCAATCTGCAGGGGTGTTCCATAGTGTTACTGAAAACAATCAATCTCTGAATCTGTTATTGTGAGCATTTAGATCAGATTTTATGAAAAAGACCTTCACTGGTCTGAAGGTCACCACTAATACTCAAGAGAGTATTAGTGTGACTCTCTATTCAGTGGTATTTGAGAGATATATCAATCTCAAATGTTTTGGAGAACCAACATACACCACTGTATAGTCAAGAGTATAACACCACTGAATACTCAAGAGAGTTCAGTTATCCTGTATAATATTTAAAAGTAACGTCAAGATTTTGAAAGTTGGTCAATAGCTCAGCATTGTTAATTTTAAAAAATGTAGCTGTATGTGATTTAGCACTAATCTAAACAGCAAATGTTTAAGAATGTGTTCCTTTCCCTTGCATTTAATTAAGAATGGAGATTTTTTGGAACATTGATCCCAGTTACAGGTACTGGACACATCACAATCTGGCTGTCTGAATACCTTCTAATATCCTGGTTTCTTTGGGTTACAATTTAAATTGAATGTCAGTGAATGCATTCATTGAATGAATTCCCTTGATCATTCTGTATGACTGTATCTGATGACTTATCCAGGCCTCTGTGCAGATTTTACACTATTTTCTAACTCAAACATGGTTCATTTTGTTCAGTTTTGTAAAAATAGTGATTAAGACTGGGATGTGGGAGGATCCAAAAAAAACCCCAGACAACAAATGTGTTGTGGACACT